TCCAGCAGATCCCCGGGTCCTCGCCCCCAGGGAGGGGCTCCTTTTACTCTGCTGACTTAGAGACCCTGCCTTCATGAAGGCCAGACCCTGGCCGTCTCGGGGGATGGGTTTGGGGCGGCAGCTTCCAGAGCAGCCTGGCCTGAGCCCCCACCGCCTGGGCCCTTGGCAGGCAGAGGAGAAGCAGCTGGCTGTCACCGAGAGGACCGTTGGGGACCTGCAGCAGCAGAGCCGACATGTGGCACCTCTGCCACAGCGCAGAAACCCGCCCCAGCAGCCCCTGCACGTGGACAGCATCTGCGACTGGGACTCAGGAGAAGTGGGAACTCTGCCCACCCCGCTTTGCCCCCCTGCCCAGCCCCACCTAGTGCCATCTCCTGGTCCCACCCAATGCCACCCCTGCTCCAGCCCAAGTAGACTTCTGTACCCACCTCTGCCCTACTGCTTCTCCCGCCCAGCCCAGCCCCTCCAAGCCCTGTTCCTGACCTGCGCCTGTCCCTGTTCCACCCCAGCACCTCCTGCTCCGGTTCCAGAGACTATCCCCAGTCTCTGGCCCCAGCCCTACTCCATCTTGGCCTTGGCCTCCTCCCAGTCCCTGCCCCTGTCCCTGCATAAGCCGCTTCCCTTCTGCCCCCCAGGTGCAGCTGCTGCAGGGTGAGCAGTACACACTGGTGGACAACATGGATCCACACACCTGGGTGGTGCAGGGCCCCGGTGGGGAGACCAAGAGTGCCCCCGCTGCCTGTTTCTGCATCCCAGCGCCGGACCCTGAAGCCGTGGCCAGGGCCTCCCGGTAGGTCTGCCTAGGACACTTGGACAGGAGGCAGGCTGTGGCCAGACCAGGCCCTGTGGTGTCCAAGGCCGTTGCCTGGCAGGCCACTGCCCAAACGCTGGCCTTCCTCTGGGGCTGGAAAGGGAGAGTGAGGAGGACGTCCTTCTCTGATTTCCTCCTTGTTCCAGGCTGGTCTCGGAGCTGCAGGCCCTGAAGCAGAAATTGGCCACAGTGCAGAGCCGCCTGCAGGCCAGTGCTGTGGAGTCTGCACGGCCCAGCCAGCAGGGTATCAAGGGCGACCTGGGGAGGGAGCGGAGTCGATTCCTACTTCCTGGGGGGGCTTTGATGGGCAGGGGTGACCCTGGGCTAGGGACACCTGCTCTGGGGGTTCCATCTCCTGGGGTGGCGCGTCCCAGGACTGCCCTCCCTCAGGCCCTGCCCATCCTCCTCCCGGACCCCCACAGGGCTGGTACCCAGAGTGCCCATTTGGCAGATGAGAGGTCGGCCCTGGGCCCTCACCAGCACCCCCTGCCCCCAGTTCCAGGTGGCTCTGCCCCGGCCAACCCACAGGCCCAGAAGCTCCTGACACAGATGACCCGGCTGGATGGGGACCTGGGGCAGATAGAGAAGCAGGTGCTGGCCTGGGCACGGACCCCACTGAGCCGCACCACGTCGCTGGAGGACCTGGAGGGCCGAATCCACAGCCAGGAGGTGGGTGAGCGGCCAGCAGGGGCAGCCGGGAGAAGAAGCGGCCCAGCCCTGGGGTGCACACACTTTAGAGAAGCAAGTGCAGGACCAGCTGCCAGGGCCCAAGGTGGAGGAGGGAATGGATAGTCCAGGGCTCAGACAAGCCGGTGCCCCTCCTGGCTCCTCCACTGACCGGCTCTGTGACTTTGGGCACGCCATTTGGCTTCTCTGGACTTCAATTTCCTCATGTCTGAAACTGACAAAATAATACCCAGCTCAATTTTCCTGGGAGTGAAGTGCAGTAATGCCCAGGAAGATTCTAGTAGGGCAAGGGTAAAGGCCCCACCCCCAGAAGGTGTTTTGGCAAAGCTCCTGAAGTAGCAAGGAAAGGCTGGGGTCTTTTGGGGAGCAATTTCTCCCAGCTTGGCTGGATGTGGTAACTCACACCCGTAATCCCAATACTTTGGGAGGCAGAGGACGGAGGATTTCTTGAGCCCAGGAGCTTGAGACCAGCCTAGACAACACAGCGAGACCTCATCTCTACAAAATGTATATATTAAAAAAAATTAGCTGGGTGTAGCGGTGTGCACCTGTAATCCCAACTACTCAGGGTGCTGAGGTAGAAGGATAGATTGAGTCCAGGAGTTCAAGGCTGCAGTGAGCTGTGATTGTGCCACCGCACTCCAGTCTGAGTGACAGAGTGAGACCCTGACTTAAAAAAAAAAAAAAAAGGCTGGGCTCAGTGGCTCAGCCTGTAATCCCAGCACTTTGGGAGGATGAGGTGAGTGGATTGCCTGAGCCCGCGGGTTCAAGACCCAACTGGGCAACTTGGCGAGACCCCATCTCTACAATAAATCAAAAAATTAGCCGGGCATGGTAGTGCACCCCTGTAGTTCCATCTACTTGGAAGGCTGAGGTGGAAGGATCGCCGGAGCCCAGCAGGTCGAGGCTGCAGTGGCCAGGAGCGGCCACTGCACTCCAGTCTGGGCGACAGAGTGAGACTCCAACTCCAAAAAAATAAATTAATTAATTAATTAAAAATAAAGTTTCTCCTGGCTGAAGGGAGGAGCAGTCCTGGAGAGGTTACAGCATTGTATAAACCCATGACCAAAGAAGAGCAAATTCTCTGCCACGTGAGCTCAACCCCCTAGAAGTGCTGAAGGTGAAATCCACCCTTCCCCACACCTGGGGGCCGCAGTCTGGCTATCCTTCCAAACCGGTTTCTGTTCAAATACATGACATCCTTTGTGTTTGGCTCTAAAAAATTTGAATCATGCTGTTCACATTCTTGTGCAACTTGTTCTTTTCTCCCCACAAGGTTCCATAGAGATTAGGAAGCAGCAGTTCAGCTGGGTCAGAGGACTGGGCCAGGTGGGGCAGGGGGGTGTTCCGGGGATGGAGGACAAGAGAGTAAGAAGGGGTTGCAGGTTGGGTTCCTGGTGGTGACTCTGATATGGAGAAGTGTGTGTCAGGTGTTCATCACGGGGTCTCATGGCTGGGACATCTGTGGAAGGGAGGGGACAGAAGCAGATGGCAGAAGGAGGCTGTGCTGTAATAGTCTCAGCCAAGGCCTCAGCCGACCCCCAGGAGCTCTGGAGCTGGGGAGGGGGCTGCCCCCGTGGCTTTATTTGCCAAGTCACTGGCTGCCCCCTGGGGCATGGCAGTCTCCAAAACGGGCTGCTAGCGGAGGCTGTCACACCTACGTAGGTCCTTGGGTTGTGGACCTACGTAGGTGTGACGTCACAGCATCTGCCGTATAGCATTGTGGGGGCGAGGAGAAGCCCATTCAGTCTGGCCGTGGCAATTGGCACCACACAGGGACTTACGTGATGGGCAAGTGAATAACTGATGGAAGAATGAGGGCACCAACCCCATGTGGACAGAGCCAGGGCACTGGCTGAAGCTACAGGGCCAGGGGACCTGAAGGTCTTCTGAGCAGGGTAGTGACTTGAAGACAACAGTGGGCAACTGTGTGCCTGGCATTTGCTGCTGAGTTCCACGCAGGCTTTTTCTTTTTTGAGCTGGAGTCTCACTCCATCGCTCAGGGTGGGGTGCACTGGCACCCCAGTGTCGACCTGGGCTCAGGCAGAAGGAGGTTCCTTCCGCCTCAGCCTTCCAAGTAGCCGGAACTACAGGCACTTGGTACCATGCCCGACTAATTTTTTTTTTATTTATTGTAGAGATGAGGTCTTGCCAATTGCCCAGGCTGTTCTCGAACCCGTGGGCTCAGGCAATCCCCTCACCTCGGCCTCCCAAAGTACTGGGATTCCAGGTTTGAGCCACCGCACCTGGCCCCACCCAGGGGCTTTCATATCTTCTTCATATCAATCATTCTGTAGCGGAGGAGACGGGGGTCAGAGAGATTGATCTGGTCACCCACACAGGGAGCAGTGGGGCCAGGACTGTACCCGGTTCTCTGGCCTGAACCTGAGCATGTACCCGCCACTCTCTCCTGCCTCCGTGGGCACAGTTGGGTTGACATGGCAAGAAAACAGGGCAGAACCCACCTGCCCAGAGATCCCTGACCCTGCCGCCTCTCCAGGGCATGGCCCAGTGCCTGCAGAGTCTGGGAGCCGAGAAGGAGACAGCCCAGCAGGAGTGCGAGGCTTTTCTGTCGGCGAGGCCCACGGGCCCCGCCGCCCTGCAGCTGCCCGTGGCCCTCAACAATGTCAAGAACAAGTTCAGCGATGTACAAGTTCTGTGCCATCTCTATGGAGAGAAGTGAGTGCTCTGGGGACAGGGCCGCTGGGCGGGTGTGGCCGGGGGGTGTGGCTGGGGGGTGTGGCCGGCGGGTGTCTGAGCCCTGCCTCCTCTGTGGCAGAGCCAAGGCTGCCCTGGGCCTGGAGCAGCAGATCCGGGACGCGGACAGGGTCATTGGGGGCTTCGAGTCCAGCCTGGCGCAGGAGGCCCCCATCCCTGCTGAGCCAGGGGCGCTGCAGGAGAGGGTCAGCGAGTTCCAGGTGAGGAGCCGGCAAGGCCTCCTGGCGGGAGAGGGTCAGGCTGACCAAGCATTGGGATGGGGCAGGTGGAGTGGACATGCTGTCTCTCCCCTGCCCCCAGCGCCAGCGGAAGGAGCTGCTGGAACAGCAGGCCTGCGTGCTGGGCCTGCACCGCGCGCTCAAGGCCACCGAGCACGCATGCGCTGCACTGCAGAACAACTTTCAGGAGTTCTGCCAAGACTTGCCACGCCAGCAGCGCCAGGTGCGCGCCCTCACTGACCGCTACCACGCTGTGGGGGACCAGCTGGATCTGCGGTGAGTGGCCAGGCTCTGCGGGCGCAGGGTACGGGCTGGGGTGGAGCCCGGGCACTGTTGTGTGCAAGCTGTGTGACCTTGGACTGGTGACTTCACCTCTCTGAAGCTGTTTTCTCATCTCTAAAACGGTATAATTAGCCGGGCTCGGTGGCTCAGCCTGTAATCCCACGCTTTTGGGAGGCTGAGGTGAGTGGATTGCCTGAGCCTGTGGGTTCGCGACCCGCCTGGACAGGCGAGACCTCATCTCTACAATAAATCAAAAAAATTAGCTGGGCGTGGTATGTGCGCCTGTAGTTCCAGCTACTCGGAAGGCTGAGGCGGAAGGATAGCCAGAGCACATCAGGTCGAGGCTGCGGTGGCTGGGAGCGGCCACTGCACTCCAGTCTGGGCGACAGAGTGAGACTCCAACTCAAATAAATAAATAAATAAATAAATAAATAAATAAATAAATTAATAAATTTAAAAAATGGTATAATAACAGTACTTATCTCCCTGGGTGGTGCCTGGCCGGGCCTGTTCATCCCGTCTCTGAATCTGCAGCCCCAGGCAGGGTTGGAGAGCAGGGATCTGCACGGCAGGTCACTCAGGGTTCCTGCCCTATCTCAGGGAGGAGACTCCCACCAGCCTCTCCTGTGTACTCTCGCCTGTCCCCAGAGGGTGGCCTTCACCTCTCTTCTGGGCCTCGTCCTGCAGGGAGAAGATAGTGCAGGATGCTGGCCTCACCTTCCAGCAGTTCAAGAACTGCAGGGACAACCTGAGCTCCTGGCTGGAGCACCTACCCCACAACCAGGTGCGGCCCAGCGACGGGCCCAGCCAGATCGCCTACAAGCTGCAAGCACAGAAGGTGAGGGACTGCCGGCCACCTGGGGGCGGATCAGGCCCCTGATCACAACTGGGGCCTCAAGGATGTCCACAGGGACAGCTGCCTGTGCACATGTGGCCCTCTAGTGGCCAGGGCTCAAAAGCGCTCCAAGAGGCCGCAAGACTGAGGCCTCTCAAGCCTTGGGTCACCCTCTTCCTTGGCCTCCACTTGAAATGCTCCACTTTGCCCACAGACATGACCAGCCCAGCTCTATCTGGTCCAGGGTGGGCACTGGGATTCATGCTCGGGCCACAGAGTTATGGGCGTTCCAATCACCGCTGCATCTTCCTCCTCAGACATGTCAAGTCCATCCTGTACCAGGCAGTGGGTTCAGTGGGGGTACAGCCCTGCCCTCGGGCTTCTTTGGTGGAGAGGCCAGTGACCTGTGGGCAGTCCCTGCTGGACACCAGGGCCAGCAGTGTGGAAGGACTCGCCACCTAAGTTGAGACCAGAGGAAGAGAGAGGGTAGCCCGAGGAGAGGAGAAAAGCAGAGGGAGAAAGGTAGAAGAAAGGAGGGGGAATTGAGGACGGGAATGACCAGAGCAGACCACACGGCAAGGAGGCTGGACTCTATCCGCCGCCCCAGCAGGCGGCTGGGGAGGAGGCATCTCCAGCCTGGTGTTTAGAAGCTAGCTCTGGCTGCTGGGTGGAGAGTGGCTAAGGGGTGGGGAGAAGACTAGGAGGACCAGGAGGAGCCCAGGTAGAAAGCCAGGTGAGACAGGATGGTGGCTTGGGCCAGGGGAAGGGACCATGGGACAGAACGAGGTGGGCAGACCTGAGATGGAGATGGCAGCATTGGTGGACTTGGCGACCGCTTGGAGGGGGCAGTGAGACCATGAAGGTTTTGTCAGAGACCCCTGGGAAGATGGGGGTGGGGGTGCCCCCACCTGAGGCAGGAACACAAAGAACAGAGCACCTTTGGAGAAAGGCATGAGGTCAGCTGGGTCATGCTGAGTGTAAGGTGGCTGGGACAGCTGAGGGAGATGGAGAAGTGGAGGGAGTTGTGGGAGGGGTGGTGCCCTTGGGGCCTTCCTGAGAGCGGAAGCATCTGGGACTGTGGGAAAATGAGAATGTCTGATGCTAGAGTAGGTGCATGGCATCAGGAAGGGGCCTGGGACAGAGACTCTCACCCTGGCTGCCGATCAGAGTTTTCCAGGGAGCCTTTTTTTTTGAGTGGGAGTCTCACTCTGTCACTCAGACTAGAGTGCAGTGGCCACTCCCGGCCACCGCAGCCTCGACCTGCTGGGCTCCGGTGATCCTTCCGCCTCAGCCTTCTAAGTAGCTGGAGCTACAGGCGCATGCTACCATGCTCAGCTAATTTTTGATTTATTGTAGAGATGAGATCTCGCCAAGTTGCTGGGGCCAGTCTTGAACCCTCAGGCTCAGGCAATCCACTCGCCTCGGCCTCCCAAAGTGCTGGAATTACAGGCTGAGCCATCGAGCCTGGCCCCAGGGAAGTTTTAACACATCCCCAGGCCAAGACCCTTCTCCAGACAAACCAAATTGGAATCGTTGGGGTCAAAGCATCAGCATTTTTTTTAAGTTCCTAGGTAAATAAAAGGGGGCAGTCCAGGTTACAAACTATTATGGCAGAGCCGTGGTTCTCAAAGGGTGGTCCCTGGACCAGTAGCATCAGCATCACCTGGGGACCTGTAAAGAATGCTCACCTCAGTCCTGCTGAACCAGATGCAGCAGGTGGGCCCAGCACATCTGCAGTCTAACAGGCCCCAGGTGATTCTGGTGCCCACTGCAGCGTGGTGGGATGGAATTCTGTGGGCTACTGGGCAGAAGAAAGGGACACCGCCAGGGAGAGGAAGGAGGGAAAGTAGAGAGAGTGATGTCAGGGAAAAAGGGGGCTCCCACCCCACCCAGGCCTTCCATACAGCCCTTCCTGTCCCCAGGTGGGTGGCGCTAGCTGCCTGTGGCCCTGGAGGCACCAGTTGGAGGAGCATCAGGTTAGGCCGTGTTTCCCGCCTCCCGACTCTAGCTTTTTCCCTGGCAGAGGCTGATGCAGGAGATCCAGCGCCGAGAACAGGACCGGGCCATGGTGTCCCGCCTCTCCCAGAACCTTCAGACGGCTCTCCAAGTAAGCAGGACTTTTTATTTTTTGGAGTTGGGGTCTCACTCTGTCACCCAGGCTGGAGTGCAGTGGCACAGTCATAGCTCACTACATCCCCAAACTCCTAGGCTCAAACAATCCTCTCACCTTAGCCTCCCAAGTAGCTGGGACTACAAGCACATACCACCACGCCCAGCTAATTTTTTGTAGAGACATGGTCTCACTATGTAATCCAGGCTGGTCTCAAACTCCTGGACTCAAATGATCCTCCCACCTCGGCCTCCCAAAGTGCTGGGATTACAGGCATGAGCCACCACACCCAGCCAGCAGCTTTACTTGCCTTGTCCCTCCCACCTCTTCTAGCCCCTGCTACCCCTTGCCAAGCTTCCCCCACCAACGTCCAGCTTGTTGTCCTTTGCTTCCTGCTCAGGACTATGACCTGCAGGCAGACACCTACCGCTGCTCCTTGGAGCCCACCCTGGCAGTGTCAGCCCCCAAAAGACCCCGAGTGGCTCCCCTGCAGGAGAGCATCCAGGCCCAGGTGAGATGAGACCAGTGGGGCACCAGCTCTGTAGCCTCCAAAACGGGAGCTGACCCTCCCCTCCCTCTCCCCACCTTGGCCCCCTCCAGGAGAAGAACCTTGCAAAGGCTTATACTGAGGTTGCAGCGGCCCACCAGCAGCAGATGCACCAGCTGGAGTTTGCTAGGAAGATGCTGGAAAAGGTACAGAGATGACGCCCCTCTTCCCACAATAACCAGGAATAGCCATTCCTGCAGTGCCTGGGCCACCAACCCAGCAGTCTTCTCTGCAGCCCCTGGGCAGGCCCGGCATCTTGGGAGGGGTGCAGCACCCTGCCTTCTGCGGTTTTCTCCCTAGCCACTCTCACAGGCTGGGATCCATCCCAGAGTTAGGCCCTGGAGACGTCAGTGTGGTCACAGTCGAGCTACTGGGCCGCCCTCCAATGGGAAAGGACCTCTAACACTGGAGAGCAGAGAAAATCCTCAGAGACTTCAGCCTTAGTACCTAGCCACCATGGCGACAGGCCCCCACCTGGGAATCCATCCCTGGTACCCCAGAAGCTCCCAGGATTCTTGGTGACTTGCTGGCCTCCCTACTATCCTCAGCCATAGTGCAGCATCCCCCAGGGGAGTGGGGGCCCATTTCTGGGAACCTGCGTGGAAAGGGAAGGAGGGGAGTTTCGGAAGGGACAGGGAGAACCTGTCCTATTTGCACTTTCTAGTGCAAACCTGGCCTGCACACGGCCTCGCGTCCCAACAGCATGGCATCGACTGGATCTGCCCAAAATTCTGCACCAAGCATCTCAGGTCCTCAGCTCCACCTCCCAGGACCTACCAGGAAGCCTTGGGAAGCAGGGAGGGGTCTCTGGCCCCGGGAGGGGGGGTGTAGACACACAGGACTCCTATCTTTTCTCCCCCTCACCCCAGTGGTCTCCTTTCTTCCTCACACTGCAGAAGGAGCTCAGTGAGGACATCCAGGCGACCCATGACATGAAGCAGGGGTCCGAGAGCCCAGCCGGAGCAGGGAGAGAGTCACAGGCCCTGAAGTCCCAGCTGGAGGAGGAGAGGAAGCGGGTGGCCCAGGTGCAGCGCGAGCTGGCGGAGCAGAGGAGCCAGCTGCTGCAGCTGAGGACCCAGCGGCCTTTGGAGAGGCTGGAGGAGAAGGAGGTGGTGGAGTTTTACCGGGACCCCCAGCTGGAGAGCAGCCTGGCCAAGGTGAAGGCCCAGGTGGAAGAGGAGGGCAGGAGGCGTGCCACCCTGCAGGCAGACCTGGAGGCAACGGCCCAGAAGGTCGTGCAGCTGGAGAGCCAGAGGAAGACCACGCAGCCTCATCTGCTGACCAAGGAGGTCACCCAGATCGAGAGGGACCCTCGCCTGGACAGCCAGGCAGCCCAGCTCAGCAGAGAGATCCAGCAGCTCCGGGGGGAGGACACCGTCGTCTCGGCCCGGCTGGAAGAGCTGAAGAAGGAGCTGCTGGCCCTTGAGCGGAAGGAGGTGGACGTGAAGGAGAAAGTCGTGGTGAAAGAAGTGGTCCAGGTGGAGAAGGATCCGGAAATGGTCAAGGCAGCCCGGGCTCTGAGGCTGCAGATCGAGGAGGACACCGCGCAGAGGAAGCGGGCGGAGGAGGCCGTGGCCACGCTGCGGGCTCGCATCGAAGACCTGGAGCGGGCCATCAGCTCGGTGGAGCCCAAGGTCATTGTGAAGGAGGTGAAGAAGGTGGAGCAGGACCCAGGCCTTCTCCAGGAGTCCGCCCGGCTGAGGAGTCTCCTCGAGGAGGAGAGGAGCAAGAACGCCACGCTGGCCCGGGAGCTGAGGGACCTGCGTGGCAAGCACAGCGCCGCCGAGAAGCAGAAGCCCAAGGTGCAGCTGCAGGAGCGCGTCAGCGAGGTCTTCCAGGTGGACCCTGACACGCAGGAGGAGATCGCGCGGCTCCGGGCCCAGCTGCAGGAGACCGCGGGCAAGAGGAGTCACATGGAGAAGGCGGTGGAGACGCTGCGGCCTGAGCTGGAGGTCCTGCGCGCCCAGAAGCCCGCGGTGGAGTACAAGGAGGTGACCCAGGAGGTGGTGAGGCACGAGAGGAGCCCCGAGGTGCTGCGCGAGGTCGACCGCCTGAAGGCCCAGCTCAACGAGCTGGTCAACACGCACGGGCGCACACAGGAGCAGCTCATCCGCCTGCAGGGCGAGCGCGACCAGTGGAAGCGTGAGCGGGCCAAGGTGGAGACCAAGACGGTGAGCAAGGAGGTGGTGCGCCACGAGAAGGACCCGGTCCTGGAGAAGGAGGCGGAGCGGCTCCGCCAGGAGGTGCGGGAGGCCACCCAGAAGAGGCGGGCCGCGGAGGACGCCGTCTACGAGCTGCAGAGCAAGTGCCTGCTGCTGGAGAGGAGGAAGCCCGAGGAGAAGGTGGTGGTGCAGGAGGTGGTGGTCACCCAGAAGGACCCGAAGCTGCGCGACGAGCACGGCCGGCTGAGCCAGAGCCTGGATGAGGAGGTGGGCCGGCGGCGGCAGCTGGAGCTCGAGGTGCAGCAGCTGCAGGCCAGCGTGGAGGAGCAGGAGGGCCTGCTCAGCTTCCAGGAGGACCGCAGCAAGAAGCTGGCCGTGGAGCGGAAGCTGCGGCAGCTGACCCTGCGGATCCAGGAGCTGGAGCAACGCCCCCCCGTGGTGCAGGAGAAGATCATCACGGAGGAAGTGGTCAAGCTGGAGAAGGACCCGGATCTGGAGAAGTCCACGGAAGCCCTGCGGCGGGACCTGGACCAGGAGAAGGCCCGGGTGACAGAACTGCACCGGGAGAGCAAGAACCTGCAGGTCCAGATCGACGTCCTCCAGAAAACCAAGTCGCAGGAGAAGACCATCTACAAGGAGGTGATCCGGGTGCAGAAGGACCGGGCGCTGGAGGACGAGCGGGCCCGTGTGTGGGAGGTGCTCACCCGGGAGCGCGCAGCCCTGCAGGGCCGGGAGGAGGAGGCGCGGCACCTGCGGCAGCGGATCGACAGGGCGGAGGCGCTGGGGGGGACCTGGTCGCGGGAGGAGGCCGAGCTGCAGAAGGCCCGGGACCAGGCGGGCCAGGAGTGCGGGCGGCTGCAGCAGGAGCTGCGGGCGCTGGAGAGGCAGAAGCAGCAGCAGGCGCTGCAGCTGCAGGAGGAGTCGAGGCTGCTCAGCCAGAAGACGGAGAGTGCGCGGCAGAAGGCGGCCCAGCGGGGCCAGGCGCTCTCACAGCTCGAGGCGGCCATCCTCCGCGAGAAGGACCAGATCTACGAGAAGGAGCGTGCCCTGCGGGACCTGCATACCAGGGTGAGCCGGGAGGAGCTCAGCCAGGAGACCCCGACACGGGAGAACAACCTCTCCACCAAGATCTCCATCCTGGAACCCGAGACAGGGAAGGACATGTCCCCGTATGAGGCCTACAAGAGGGGCATCATCGACCGAGGCCAGTACCTCCAGCTGCAGGAGCTCGAGTGTGACTGGGAGGAGGTCACCACCTTGGGCCCCTGCGGGGAGGAGTCTGTGCTCCTGGACCGCAAGAGCGGAAAGCAGTACTCCATCGAGGCCGCCCTCCGCTGCCGGCGCATCTCCAAGGAGGAGTACCATCTGTACAAGGACGGCCGCCTGCCCATCTCAGAGTTTGCCCTGCTTGTGGCCGGGGAGACCAAGCCGAGCTCCTCGCTTTCCATCGGCTCCATCATCTCCAAGTCCCCACTCGCCTCCCCAGCCTCCCAGAGCACCGGTTTCTTCGCTCCTGGCTTCTCTCTCGGGTTCGGTGACGACAGCTTCCCCATCGCCGGGATCTACGACACAACCACAGACAACAAGTGCAGCATCAAGACGGCCGTGGCCAAGAACATGCTGGACCCCATCACTGGGCAGAAGCTGCTGGAAGCCCAGGCGGCCACGGGGGGCATCGTGGACCTGCTTAGCCGCGAGCGCTACTCTGTGCACAAGGCCGTGGAGAGGGGCCTGATCGAGAACACCTCCACGCAGAGGCTGCTCAACGCCCAGAAGGCCTTCACTGGCATCGAGGACCCTGTCACCAAGAAGAGGCTGTCGGTGGGCGAGGCCGTCCAGAGGGGCTGGATGCCCTGGGAGAGCGTGCTCCTGCACCTGCAGGTGCAGCACCTGACCGGGGGGCTCATCGACCCTAAGAAGACAGGCCGCATTCCTGTCCCACAGGCTCTGCTCTCCGGAATGATCAGCGAAGAGCTGGCCCAGCTCCTGCAGGACGAGTCCAGCTACGAGAAGGATCTGACAGACCCCATCTCCAAGGAACGGCTGAGCTACAAAGAGGCCATGGGCCGCTGCCGCAAAGACCCCCTGAGCGGTCTGCTGCTCCTCCCAGCCGCGCTGGAGGGGTACCGCTGCTACCGCTCGGCCTCTCCCACAGTCCCACGCTCCCTGCGCTGATGCAGGCCAAGCAGCCGGGACAGTGTGTGCGTTGGGGCAGGTAGGATGCAGCTACCCTCACCCCAGGGCAGCTGATCCCAGGCAGTGGGTCTTCCCTCTCTCCGACCACAGTCCTGTTATTTTATTACTCAAACATTTATGGTGTTGGGCTCCCTCCCCTTATCTTGGTGCCCGATCCATCCCCAGACCAGCAGCAGCTCTGTGTTTCCCTCCTGCCTGACCCAGTGATTCCAATAAATGAATTCCCCCCCAGTACTGTGTCTCGTTCACATTTGAGAACACAGGATCCATTTGTCTGAGATCTGAGCACAAGGACAGCATTGCTTGGATGCTTTCCCAGTTGGATATGCCCAACTCACCTACCTGGGGCATGGGGTGTTCTCTGGGGGCTGTGCTTCCTTGGATTCTGGGCAGGGACGCGGTGGCAGGTCATGGAAAGGGATCACGGAACAGCTGCTGCCTCCCCACCACACCTCAGCTTCCCCACTGGCTCAGTTCAGGCCAGGACAATCTTCAGCCCTCTGTCAGTGTCCCCCTTGTCAGCAAGCCCAGGCATCCCCCATTAGCAGAATAATGCCAGAAAACTCCAGAGTGTGTCATGTTTATTTCCTGTTTCTCAAGCCAGAAGCAAACCAACAGAAGCATATCTTAACAGAAGAACAGCCAGCCACACGCAGCCCGACCTCAGGAAGACTGCCTCTCTCCTCACTCTCTCCTTCCTGTTTAACTTGGAACTGTGAACTAGAAAAACATTTCAATCCAAAAGACCAGCAGAGGGCACCCTTCCCTCAGGGTCTAACTGTGGCTGCAGACGGGCGGGTGAAGGGCCCCAGAAGTACTTAGCCCAAAGCCCAGGCAGGCCCCCTGCCCCCAACTTAGCACCTGTAGTTCCAGTGCCAGGGGACCAGTCTCTAACACATGCCCTCGACCGTCGAGCAGCTGTGCCCTACTTTGAAGCGGCACCGTCAAACCCAACAAACAACCCAGGAACTCGCCAACCTGTGGGCATGACTAACCCAAACTTAGCCCTCTGCCACCAAGCTCCTCAGAACTCCACTCTCCCCAGATTTGTCCTCTCTCGCGCGAATGGCGGGAGGCAGCCAGGACAGCAGCTGCTCAAGAGAGGACATGAGCTTGGCCTTGACGTTAACGGTAGAAACGCTCCAGCACACTCTGGCGGGCGGCCGGGGAGGGCTCAGGAGATGAGAAGTACGGGTGGGCCAGGGCGGCCTTGGCTGAGATCCGCCTGCTGGGGTCGTACTGCAGGAGTTGCTGGGAAGGAGGACAAGGAAAGAGATGGTGCCTGGGTGTGGCCACAAAGGGGAGGAGGAATTCCCCTCCCAGGTCCCAGCTGGAGGCCCAAGCCCTGTAGTGGGTGCCCCTAAACCTACAACTTCTTGGCTCTGGAGCCAGTTCTGGCCACTCCCAGAATCTGAGGACAAAGAGTTAGTTCTAGTCTAGCCCTAAGAGTCACTCAGGACTCCTCAGGCAACCGAAGCTGGGTCAGCCGCCCCTCCTCTTGGAGGGTTCCAGGTCCCAGTCAGCTTCTAGTTGAGAAGAGCACAGATGTCCCTCCTGTATCAGGAAGCAGGGACCAAACCTGTCCAGGAAACATCCTGGGGTGGGGGGCTGGAATTCAAAGAGCAGGGAGGAGAGACGGAAGGAGGAGCTGACACCGCAAGAGGCTGACCCGTCCAGCTCTATGCCCTAGAGCCCCTAAACCCAGGCAGGATGTGGAAGGACCCCCTGCTGTGGAAAAGCGGGATGGAAAGCTAGGAGCCTTGGCTGGAGGTCCACGGCATCCTGCTGCCTTTGGGTTGGTAGGCAACACACACAGATTTCTGGAAAGTTGGATGCACAGACTGAATGAACATGAAAATGCCTTCCTCTGACACAATACCAGATTAAGGAATGTGGCTTTGAGACTTTGTTGACAAAAATGGATGACTTGGCCGGGAGCAGTACTCACGCCTATAATCCCAGCACTTTTGGGAGGCTGAGGTGGGAGGACTGCTTGAGCCTAGGAGTTTGAGACCAGCCTGGCCAACATAGCAAGACTTCTTCTTCTCCCCCAAAATTTTTAAAAGATAGTCGGGCATGGTGGTGTATACCAGTAGTCCCAGCTATTGAGGAGGCTGAGATGGAAGGATCGCCTCAGCCCAGGGGGTCGAGGCTGTGGTAAGTCATGACTATGACACCACACTCCAGTCTGGGCAACAGAGTAAGACCCTCCAAATCAAAGAAAAAAAAAAAAAGAATGGACAGTGGATGGCTCTGCCTGAGGCCTCCTGGGCAGTCTGGCCTGGGACAGCCAAGGGGTCAAGATGGTGTAACACAAAGGGTGAGGACTGTGACAGGAGCCCAGGCAGCAGGGAACAGCTTGTTCTGATCAGCCTGGGTGAAGACTAACCACTGTAGAAGGCACTGGGGGGTACACCCAGGCAGAGGAGGCGTGGCCCAGCCTGGAGAAGTACACAGCTTAGATGGGGCAATCATGAGACGAGAGGCATTTTGAAGGGGAAGGTAAACATTGGACTTATCATGAGGCAGGTTTCCAGGCTGGGCAATACACCCAAGGCCAAGGACAGGCCGACTGTGTACAGGGGTCAGGAAAAAGGCTAGTTGGACTCAAAGCGCCAGGGTTATATAGGAGGCTGGGTGACAGGGAGACACTCTGGGTGAAGTGGCCAGACCAGGGGACTCTTCTTGCTCCCCTGCACCTACCATGAGCAGGTCCTTGCCCTCTGGCTCCAGATTGGGCACAATCTCCTCCAGCCCCTTCCGGGTCCACTTGGGGAAGCTGCCCTTGTAGTCGGGCAGCTGGGTGACTCCGGGCCACATGGCTTCACTCGGTGTTCCCAGGGTGCGAAAGATACGAAAGAGTTGGTCAATCTCAGAGTCACCAGGAAACAGGGCTTTGCGTGTCACCTGCAACAGGGAAGAAAAGAAGGTGTAGAGGCCACCACTCTGTCACACAGAACCAGGGAGGGGCCATCAAGATATAATTCCCAGAGCTATGCAAAGAATTCTAGCTTTTTCTGGAACAAGGTTGGCTTCCTCAGTCCTTCTGCCAGTCCCAAACCCTCCTTAATCTCTCTCTAATATAAGCATCAGTGGGCCCCACCCATCATCCAGTAGGTCCCTGCCTGTGGCCCCCTGTGGCCATGTGTCTCTATACCATCTCTGCAAAGATGCAACCAATGCTCCAGACATCCACAGCCGTCGAATAGAACTTGCTGCCCAAGAGGATCTCAGGGGCCCGATACCACAGTGTCACCACCTGTGGGGGAGACGGGAGGAAATCATTCAGGGTGATTTTTTTTTTTTTCTGAGTTAGAGTCTCAGTCTATTACCCAGGCAGGAGTACAGTCGCACACTCATGTCCACCACAGCCTGGACCTGCTGGGCTCAGGTGATCTTTCCGCCTCAGCCTTTCAAGTAGCTGGAACTACAGGCCACCATACTCAGCTAATGTTTTAAAAATTTATTTTAGAGACGAGGTCTCGCCAAGTTGCCTAGGCTGGTCTCAAACCTTTGGGTTCAGGTAATCCTCTCACCTCCACCTCCCAAAGTGCTAGAACTACAGGTGTGAGTCACCATGCCTGGCTACTTTTTTT